ATCAAATATTGTAATTGAAAGTACGGTACTAGAAGCAGCTAAGGAACCAGAAGCCTTTGTGCTGCCAGGTTGTTCAACAATTCCATCTCTGCTAGGGGATCCCAGAACTTTCTCAATAACAAGGCTGTCAACAACAGTAGCCCGAGCCGTGGCCCCAGAACACTCCTTTATATCAGAGCTTTTGCTAGTTGTTCTCAAAGAGATATCTTTCCCATCACTCTCTGCAGCAATTACCCCATTATCATCCTTCCTCTGGTCGGATGAGACAATAGGAAAATCATGTGATTGGGACTGCACGCCATCGGTAATGTTCTCCTGATTAATTGGCATTCCAACAGCTTCTGGGATGATCCTCTTTCTCCCATCAGGGCGCCTGTATTCCTTTTGCTTTACTGGACTAGAAATCCTAGCAGAACTAGAAACTTTATTTAGCCCATCACTCCCAGCTGTCCCAGTTTTCCTTGCATCATCAATTTGAGATTCCGAAGTTTTTGATGTACGCCCCAAGTCTACAGATGATTTTACAGGCATCTGGGTGTCCTGAACATCTGGAACCACTTTTTTGCTTGTAGTTTGCTTCACCGAAGCAGCTTCAAGCAATAACTGTGCTGGGCTCTCCACCAAGTTTGCTTGTCGACCCCTAACATCACCATAACGGTTTCTCTTTAACTCATCAAGTTCATCATCACTTAGCCTGTGGCCAAGTTCCTTCACCTCAAAGTGAAATGTTGCCACAGTTCCATCCAAGGAACAAGCAAACAGTGAATACCCATCAGGACTCCTGTTGCAGGAAAGAAAATAAACATTCAAAAAAATTAAAGGAACACTATAATACATGTTCATAAGTCCCCGAAAAAAAATAAAAAATAAAAAATAACATAACACCAATTTCACCAAAATAGTGGCCGCACATTTCCAAAAAAATATGACTACTTACCAGGATAAATCCACTACACTTTGAGTAAAGAAATGCTTGGCTACAAAGAGAGGACGAGGACTTGCTGTTGTCCATACAGTTATAGTTCGGTCCTGACTCCCAATTGCAATAACATTATATGGTTGTGAATCTTTTCCTCCAATCTTGGAAGCCCCATTTGTCCACCCAATGGATGCAGCTTTCACTTCTTGAGTATTGGAAAAATTTCTTCTGAACATTGAATGATTAAACTTAACAACAATAACTGGGGCATTGTGTCCTAAGAAGTCAAATGTCGCAGCCCATTCCCCCCTTTCAAGAACAGGAGCAGAATGCCTTGGCTTTTGGAAACCATGGGTGGTAGTTATGAAATGCCCACAAGGTGACCACCCAAGCCGCCTGAAAAATGTAGATCCCAGCTGAAACAAGCACACGTTCATTACTACTTTGAAATAACAGAGAAGAAAACAAACCCTAAAAAAGATTATTAGTTAAGAGCATACTGATTTTGCCCAGTGGCCTTCTGTTCTATGAGCAAGGCTCCAGTCACTTGTCCGCCATATTATGACAGTTTTATCATCAGATTGACTAGCTATGAAAGAGCCAATGGGATCCCAGGCAACTCCTTTAACAAGGCTAGAGTGACCCCTGAGAACAGCCGTGCAAATACCATTGCTCATATTCCAGATGTGGATCGTGTTGTCCAAGCTACCACTAGCCAGAATTGAATCATCTGGAGACCAGTTAAGATCCACCTACTTCAAGCATGGAATACAACAATCCAGTTAAAGAATATTCCACAGACACGATCAGCTAAGTGAGATACTAAATTTTTATACTCTATGTTGTGTTGTATTTCTTTTTTCTCTTTATCACATGGAAGAATAAGTCACATCTACATATGGTGCTATTCACATGTCAATAAAAGAAAATTCAGGGCAGGAACTCAACCACCAAGTAAGATTTCATAGATTTCTAAAATCAGAAAAATTAATCATCTGGTTTGTTTTCAACTGCATATCGGGAAAAGCAATTCCATTACCACATCTGCAGTGTGTCCCCTCAAAGTCATTGCAACTTTCCAGTTCTCAACATCGGGAGGCTCTCCGCTGCCAAACTCTGTGGTTCCTGAACCGGGTTTCCTCTCATGAACAAAAATCACCTGATCATCAGACCCTGATGCAACATATCGACCGTGCTTAGCCCACCTAACACAGTTGACTGATCCAAAATGATCACGGAGGGTTGCAAGGAGTCTTTGATTTGATTCATCATTTCCCAAATCCCTGCCAACAGACTTCATGTTCCATATCCTAACCTGTATCCATTTAATTCTTAAAAAGGGATATCATACTCAAAAAAAGACACATAACTTTCATCTAAATAGATGTACATGAAACTATACATTTATATATAAATAAATAAATATATATGTATCTTTGAGTGTGTAATCATGAACAGATAGATAACTTGGAGATCCTCCCCGATTAATCATGACACTGGTTATAACTTTACTAATGCTACATGCCATGCACATTGACAAAGATTAATCATTTTGGTAAAAAAGAGGAAGAAAATCATAGGCCAATAAATGCAACAAAAGTTGCATAGTGTTCTAAGCAATCAGATCAATAACTTTCACACCCAAATGATTTCCAATGCATAACTCCTAAAGAAAACATGTCATGATTTAGACAAGTGTTCTCATTCATTTCTTATATTTTGACTTTGTTTAAGAATGAATATGCATTTTGGAAGTTATGGACAATTTAATTGTCTTGCAATTTCAATAGAGTAAATTCTATAGAACAAATACTATCCGTTCAAGGATGCCAAGAACTCAGGAATGGAGGAAAAAGCACTTGCGGAGGCCTCTACTGTAATGCCTATTGAGTGGGCGAAATTGTCTCCAGTCAATTGCAAAAACTGTATATAATAAAAATAAACTTTTTATTGACCATACATATAAGCTACGAAATTTCTTTTTAAGGAAGTTTATACATCAAAATCACTTTTACTAATTTGACTATTTGTATCACTTTTAATACACGAACTCCTATAAGATAAGAGTACTCCCTCTCTCACAGAATTTTCTATCAAAGAAGAAAAAACTGGAGATATTTATTTGTGTTTAAGATACTTTCTATTTTTTTATTGCACCCAATCCTTAAGTATTCTAGGTCCACCTCTATGAAGCACAACAAAGTTTGAGATTTGCAGTGAAAAATAAGAGAGGTTTGCAGCAACCAAATTTAACCCACACTTCAAGACGCATATGGGAACTATGTCCTTCCTGACGCATAATCCCATCATTCAGTAACCATGATTCTACTACATGACCAGGAGGCATTACTTGATAAGTGTGTAACTAGTGTCAGAGAATCCCTCAATCTTCTGTCAAGATAGTAAAACTGTTATTGAATATGCAAATCTATTACAAAGCCTATGGCAAGAACTTGACTATTACCCGTGCATCGAAACTAAGTGCCCAGAAGATGTTGCAATTATGAAGAAGTTTATTGAAAGAGATCAAGTTCTTGCAGGTCTCAATGCATTGGATCAAGTGAAGGCCCAGATTCTTCACAAGGAAGGGGCAGCATCTCTATATGAGTCACGAGGGGGTTATGCTTGAACCCCAACTCCTAGAAGTCCAAAAATGGTAACAGAAAAACTGATAATACTGGAAAATGTGAGGACAAATTTCTCAAGATCCTCAGCAAGGGACAGCAAAGGATTCTCTCTAGTGTACCCAGTGCAAGAAACCAAAGCATACTAAAGAAGAGTTGGAAACTGAATGGTAAGCCACCAAGCAAAGAGTAAGGCCACCGAGGAGGCAGCAGAAAAATCAAGGCTAAGTCAACCTTCACAGTGAATAAACCAAATCAAGAAAAGAAAAACAGACTGATTGCAATAAGGACATTGAGAAGATACAGGTTTCCAGGATCATCTGAGAAGCCTAGTGGTGTATCCTCTCTTGCGCTCTCAATTAAGCTTTCTATTGTTCAAGAATTAATTATCTTAGATGAACCTATTAGAAACCCATGGATTATTACTCACAAACCACATATCATTTGACCCATTCTTCACTAAATGTTAATACTTAAACCCAATGCCCAAGCATTTGAAAGATGACCGTTGCATGTGATTCTCTCATTACCATGGCTACTCTATTTTCATATCAGTCCATCACTTACATAGAAAAATGTTCTCCACATGCACAAATTATCTGCTAACCTCGTACCCATACAAACATTTTTTTTGGAAGTTGTATCCATTCAAACACTTAATCAATATATAAATTGTAACATACTTTTCTTTCTCTTTTATTGTATATTCCAGGACCAAAATTCGAGAAAGAGAATTTAACTTGCTAGGGAATAGAAAGGGCTCTACTATCTTGAAGAATCAGGCAAATTAAATTTAGTCAAGAATGTATTATTTTTGTCATTTTTCTCATCCTCAAATAAAGATATTATTTGGCCTCGCCATTTCAGATTTGGCAACCATCTTTCAGAATTTTAAAAAATGTTTCCTTCTGTAGTTAAAGAATAAACTTTTTGATCTTCTTCATTGTGACGTGAGTGAATTTGCAAACACAAATGTGTACTATTCCCAATTAGAAATTAAAGAAGATTAATCCTATTTTATTTGATCCATACTGATATCTGGAAACCCTCTACTGTTTCAATATATCCCAGGTTCACAACGGTTTCTTCTTCATTGATGATTATATGAGAGTCCTAAGGAATCTTCCTTCTTAAAACCAAATTAGATATAATCTGTGGGCTCCCCAAATTTTTATGCCATGAATTGAAATCAGCTCAGTGCTAAAACCAAAAGATTCCAATATGATAATGCATGAGACTTTTTTTAAAAAAAATATAACATATAAAAATATATTGACATCAGCATTAAAGGGATGTCACTGATTTACAAAAACTTACAAGTCAATCAACATATCCACAAGATCCACTAAAATGACCCCGTGAAAAAAAACTAAGGGTCTGAAACTATCTATTCTTAAGTAAATCAAAACCATCCATATTTTCACCCGAACAAAAGCTCTTCTGCTCCTCTCCTTCCAAATAGTAAGCGGTATTAACTCCACTTGGTCCCTCCAATCACTAATTCCCTTCCATGCCAAGATTTCATCTTTCACCAATCTTGTCATCACCCAATTAACACCTAACAAACCATAAACCATAGTCAGAGCTTAAAATCCACAGGACACCAAAGCAGTACATGGTTACAAGTCTTCTCTGCCCTCTTACAAAGATAATAAGTGTTGACCAATGTCATGCCCTATCTTCTCAAGTTGTTAATAATCAAAATACATTCTCTGTTTGCCTCCCAAGCGAAGAATGAAACAAGAGAGCGAACTCTAGCCTTCCAAGTCTGTTTAAACATGAATATACACTCATTCTCTTCACGCTTAAACAACTTCTTTTAGAAGGACTTAATTGTGAATGACCAATTTGTTGTAAGATGCCACTGTGGATTGTCACTACTTCCATCCAGATTCAGAAGGGAGTGAATACTCAAAAATTCCTCATCTTCACCAATCTCCCAATCATTGAGACTTCTCAATACAAGAACTTGTCATTCCTTCTCCCCACCATGAATCTCCACAAAATAGTCACGTATCTTGATATCTCTCTGCTGGGTTATGGCATAAATCTAAGGATATTGTTCTCTAAAGATACTGCCTTCCATCCGCTGGTCCTCCCACAGTCTGATCCTGTCCCGCTTACCAACTTTCCATCCAATATGCGTCTGAAAGTTTTCTGACATAAGCCAATCTTTTTCAACAAGCCTTTCCCATGCGGTCTAGATCCTACTTTGGTGAACCACCCTCTGTCGTCCATGCAATTTTTAGTTAATATAGTTCTTCAGCATAACACATCTTCCTCCTTCAAAAACCTCTATAACCACCTGTCCTATAAAGCCTCATTCATCTCCACCAGAGACGGCAGTCACAAAGCACCTAGAGATAGTGGTTTTTTGAGCTCATTCCATGCCACCAAATTGTACCTCCATTTACTCTCCATGGCACCCCACATAAACCTACTCTGAATGCCTGAGACTATTTCAACCAAAATTTACCTCCATTCTCTCAAAAAGAATAAATTATCTATGAATCTATCACGCCCAAGTACTCCATAACAAAATGTAGTAGCAGAAAGAAAGAACAACCATTTGCTAGACACAACCTAAGCCTTTTTGGTTCACCAAAATGTCCGAAAACCTATTAAGGGAAGTTCTACTTATAACAGCTTATGTAATCAACCGCCAAGCTTCATAAGTTATGGAGTTTAAAACACCAATGGAGAAACTTTCTAAATCTTATCTTGATCTAAAATCAACAAAAAACGCATCCCAATCTTTAGACCTTTGTCCATTTCCATAGATAGAATAGAGTGAAGTTAGATCCAATAGCTATTAAGTGTATATTAATCAATTATTCACCAATCTGAAAGGAATACAAGTATTAACATCCATTTACCACAAGAAAAAAGAGTTGTCTTTATCAACGTCACTTTTGATGAGAAAGAAAAGATCATATTTCACTTTGTCCTATATTCAGGTCAATAGGTGTCTACTTAAAGAAAAAAGATACCTCTATTTAGGAAATGTTGATCCTTCGATGAGAAAAAAAGAATTGTCTCTATCGACGTCTCAATCACATACTTCTATTTAGGAAATATTGCTTAAAAGCTATTATAAATAACCTGTAATTTTATTGATAGGAACATTCAAGTTATTCAATAAAATATTTTAATAGTTCCTGAATTTTTGATTGTGTGATAAAATTAAACTCGTAAGGGTGATACTCAAGACTTCTTAAAAATTATGTCTAAAAATCCTAGATTGTCCTACATCAATCTTGTCGCCACTGCATCCCAACCATTCCACTGACTACTGCAAACACTTCTGATTACTTTATGCCACAAAGAGTTAGGTTGCTGCGAGATACACCATAACTTAATCTAATTCAATTAAAAACAACTAAAAAGAAAACTCATTAGCAATCACCAGATTGCAGCAGGAAGTACCAAAAAGTACCAAGAAGATCCCAAGCTGCTTGGAAATCCTAACTACAGGCAATGGGAGAAAGAGCAGAAAATTAGGTACCAGCATAGGAAGAATCCACCAACCATATATTTCTGCATACAAAAGCAAGAAGATGGTGAGTTTCTGCAATGTTGAATAGTTGTGATTTGTACTCTACTCGTCTCAAGTAATGGTCAACTTGTATATGTGCTAACAAAAAGACTTAGTAGTACTTCATCCTAAGGATTAATCCCTAAGCTGAAAACAAGATATGCATATTCACCAACTTAAGAGGGAGTGTCCAAAATCCCTCAATCTTCTATGTCAATATTAAGAAACTAATCTTCATAAAACTATGGAATACTTCCATTGTCCAGCTAACTTTAGAAGGAAAAATAATTATATTGATATGCTATGTTGGAATGGGGAAACCGTTAGTGGTAATGAGGAGATGAGATAGAAGGTGAAACTGTTTTTTCAGAAACTGTACACAGAAGACATGACTCAAAGGCCCAATCTTAATAATCTGAATTTCAAGAGGTTATGAGATGGCAGTAGGGATGGTTTGGAGATGCCTTTCATGGAAGAGGAGATTAAATCTTGTTTGGATGAATGTAATGGGGAAAAGACACCGGGGCCAGACAGTTTCAATATGAAGTTCTACCAGGTATTTTGGGATGTGATAAAGAGAGATGTGTTGGCTATTTTCCACGATTTTCATAGGACGAGAACTTTTGTGAACTTCATCAACGCAACTTTCTTAGTGCTTATTCCTAAGGTGGTAGGTGCTAAGGAGATAAAAGACTTTAGACCTATTAGTTTGGTGGGAAGTATTTACAAATTAATTTCTAAAGTGCTTGCACAAAGATTATCTAGAGTTCTTA